GGGGTGCCTGGGGTGGCTCCGTCAGTTAGTTAAACGTGGCCTTTAGCTCAGGTGGTGATTCCAGGGTCCTGGGGTTGAACCCCATGTCAGGCTCCCTGCTTAGCAGGAAGCCTGCTTCTCCCTCTCCCTCTACCCCTCCCCCCACTCATGCTCTCTCTCGCTCTCTCAAATAAAAAATAAAATCGTTTAAAACATAAAATGTTTATGAGATTTTCTTAGGGAGAGAATGGAAGACAGCAAGTGTGGTGGTTAGAGCCAGTTGGCTTGACTTCAAATGCATGCCCTCAGATGAGTTACTTTCCCATTCCAAGCCTCAGTTTCCTCATCTGTAAAATGGGAATTACAGAGTGCAGGGGGTACTGGGAGTCCTGGGAGGGAAGTAAAGTCTAAGAGTATTAGCATGGATAGCAATGTGGTCATACAGAATAGAGCATCTTTTTTTTTTTTTAATAGAATGAGATGTGTGTCTTTCCTTGTTGTTCATAACCTTAGCAGTCTTTTTTTCTTTTTAAGAGTTTATTTATTTGAGAGAAAGAAAAAGAGCGCCCAAACGGGGAAAGAGGGAGGAGTCTCCCCACAGAGCAGGGAGTCCAACATGCGGCTCGAACCCAGGACCCTGAGATCATGACCTGAGCCAAAAGCAGCCGCTTAACTGACTGAGCCACCCAGGCGCCCCCCACCCCTTTTTAAATTAGACTCCGTGCTGGGCTTGGAGGCTTCAACTCACAAGCCTGAGATCAAGCCTGAGCTGAGATCAAGAGTCGAATGCCACCCAGGCGCCCCATGACCTTAGCAGCCTTGAGGAAGACTGGCCAGGTGTCCTGCGGGATGCCCCCGATCTGGATCTGTTTGATGTTCTTGTTGTGATTAGAATGGGACTGTGGGTGTTTGGGGAAGACCACAGAGGTGAGATGCTCCTTTCATCTTATCACATCAGGGGTTCCTGACATCCCCCACAATTTATCACAGTGGCATAATCTGGATCACTTGGTGCAGGGGGTGTATGAGGTTCCTGAGGCTGCTGTAACAAATGACCACAGACTTGGTGGCTTAAAACAATGCAAATTTATTCTCTCAGAGTTCAAGAGGCCAGAAGTACAACATCAAGGTGTCATCAGGGCCACATTCCCTCTGGAGGCTCCAAGGGAGGACCCTTCTTTGTATCTTCCAGGTTCTGTGGGTTCCTTAGCTTATGGTTGCATGGCTCTAACCTCTTGTCTGTTTTCTCTGTGTTTCAAATTTCCCTCTGCCTTTCTCTTAGAAGGACATCAGTCATTGGGTTTTGGTTCCAGCCTAAACCCCAGACAATCTCATCTCAGATCCTTAACTGAAATCTGAAAAGACTCTTTTTTCAGATAAGGTCGCATTCACAGGTTCTGGAGTTAGGACTTGGACATGTCTTTCAGGGCAGGCCATTCAGCTCACTGTGTGTGGTAACTGTCACAAGTCTCCACTACCAAGTCACTATTTCCCCCTTTCTCTACTCTATTCTTTGAAAGTGAGTCACTGAGCCCAGCCCACCCTTGGTGATGGTGGTGAGTTTACATATAATTTTTAATGAATGGAAAACATTCTGTCTAGTGGGTGAACCATAGCTTACTCAACAAGTCCACTGCTGTTCTTTTTGCTCTTTTACAATTGGCAACATTGCTGCAAGGCCTTGGCATAGAGTGTTTCCCTTCCTTTGCAAGACCTCCTTAGTATAAAATTTCAGAAATGGCTTACTGCGTTGAAGGGCATGACACGTTATGGACTTTGAGACATAATTGGCAGATGATGCCAATGTTTTCCCCCACTTAAAAGGAAATATATATGTCTACCAGTTTCACCACGATCTTGACAGATTGAGTCTTACACGCCCCCCTTTTTTAGTGGAGGGTAGGGTGTTTTGGTTAATTTGATAGGTACAGGGGCACCTGGGTGGCTCAGATGGTTGGGCGTCTGCCTTCAGCTCAGGTCATGATCCCAGAGTCCTGGGATAGAGTCCTGCATCGGGTTCCCTGCTCCTTGGGAGCCTGCTTCTCCCTCTGCTTCTCTCTCTCTCTGTCTCTCATGAATAAATAAATAAAATCTTTAAAAAAAATTTGATAGGTACATTGACCTGCACTCTTGAGGTTTTTGCTGTCAGAAATACAATTTAAAGTGGATTGGAAAAAATAGCATAATTGGTTCAAGGGATAAGGAAAGGGGCGCCTGGGTAGCTCAGTTGGTTAGGCGACTGCCTTTGGCTCAGGTCATGATCCTGGAGTCCCGGGATCGAGTCCCGCATCGACCTCCCTGCTCAGCGGGAAGCGGCTTCTCCCTCTGACCCTCCCCCCTCTCATGTACTCTCTCTCTCAAATAAATAAATAAATAAATCTTTAAAAAAAAAAGAAAAAAAGGGATAAGGAAAGATGTAGATTTATGAAGCATCAGGTATGGCTGGGTCCAGGATTAAACAGGGCCAAGATTCTGAAGAGACTGCCGTGTCTGTACCTGATTCACATTACTCCAGCTCTGCAGTTTCAGAACCGCCCCAGGGAAGCTCTCTGACTGGTTGAGCCTGGGTCGTGTGTCCATGATGAGAGGGGGGAAGGAACTGGACTGACCGTCGCAAACTGGCCCACGCAAACTCCCATATTTTTGTTTCTACAAGTCAGAGTTGAGAAGGCTTAAGTGTGCAAGCAAGCAATGACAATGTGGCACAAACCAGGTATGATGAAAATCAGTGCAAGCTACTAAGGTTCAAAGTAAAGAGAAGGAATGATTAGATTTGGGGGGCAGTCATTGAAGTGCTCTCAGAGCAGCTACGCATTAGTGCACATTATGCCAATTGCCAGGGACAGAGTCCAAACTCCAAGCGAATTAAGCAATAAAGGACAACTTTTTGGGCTCATATAAGTGGAAAGGCACGCCTTACAGCTTCAGGTATAGCTGGATCCAGGGGCTCACACCATGCCTCCTTTTCCACACAGTAGCTTTAAGTATACGCTGGATTCATCCTGCAGAAAGCTTCATCCAGAAAATCAATCCTAGGCTTTCACTATCTCACTTTTAAACAACCTCCTCCGAGAGCGCTCTTCTGCTGCCTCAGTATCACTCCCAAGGAAGACCTAATTGGCCTTGGTTGGTCACATGCTCCTCCTTTAACCAATCACTATGGCCAGGGGGATGGCCAACTCTGATTGGCCACCCCTATGTTGAAAGGGCTGACAAAAACTGCAGTGACGCATTCTGCCACACGGGGTCACCCAAGCAGAGTTTTCAAGGATGAATAGGAGTTTGCTAATTGGGCAAAAGGAGAAAGACTACACATAGAAGTCAAGAAAAGTCAGAAAAGTAGTGTACCAGCACATGATTTTCTTCCTACTTGTGCCACCATGTTGTGTTGAGACAGTTCACTGAACCCCAGTTTCTGTTGTTTATAAATTAAGCAGCCTTCCTGGGTGGGTCAGTCGGTTAAGCGTCTGCCTTCAGCTCAGATCATAATCCCAGGGTCCTGGGATCCAGCCCCACATCGGGCTACCTGCTCAGGGGAGAGTCTGCTTCTCCCTCTCCCCCGCGTGTGCTCTCTCGCTTTCAATCTCTTAAATAAATAAAATCTTTAAAAAATATAAAAAAGAAAAGAAAGGCTCTCAAGCCAATGCTGACACTCAGGAGACCTGGAGAAGGGAAGTCACTGGGGGAGAGCACCTATTGCTTATTTACAGGCTTGAAGGTCAAGGCATGCATGAAAGTCAAGACAGAGGAAGGAATCCTTGATGATCATCCAACTGGTAATTACTTGGTGTAGTGGGTTGAGAAGTGTCCCCTAAAAAGATGTTCTAACATAACATAGGTAAGTTCTAACCCCCATACCTGTGAATAGGACCTTTTTTGAAATAAAGTCTTTGCAAATGTAATTAAGGATCTCAAGATTATTTTATCCTGGATTTAGGGTGGGCATAATAAGAGAATGTCCTTATAAGAAAAGGAGAGGAAGACTTGAGATAGGGCGACACACAAAGAAAGCCATGTGAAGACAGTGGCAGAGATTGATATTTCTGGGGACCAAGGAACTATGAGATTGCTGACAGCCACCAGAAGCTGGGAGAGAAGTATGGGACAAATTGTCCCTCAGAATCTTCAGAAGGAACCAACCCTGCTGATTCCTTGATTTCAGACTCATGAATCAAGTTCTATTGTTTTAAGCCGCCCAGTTTGTGGTAATTTGCTATGGCAACCCAAGGAAAATAATACATTTACCTATCTATTTTGCTTATCATCTGTCTCCCCAGTGGGCTCCTAAATCCCAGGGGGGCCAGTTTCGTCTGGTTTGGTCACTGTGTATATCCAGAAACAGGCACATAGCAGGTGCTCAATAACTATCGCTCGCCTGGGTACTAAGTGCTCCGTTTGTGCTAGACGCTGTATTTTTGTTTTTTAATATTTTATTTCTTTATTTGACAGAGAGACACAGCGAGAGAGGGAACACAAGCAGGGCGACTGGGGGAGGGAGAAGCAGGCTTCCCGTGGAGCAGGGAGCCCGATGCGGGGCTCCATCCCAGGACCCTGGGATCATGACCCTGAGCCGAAGGCAGAGGCTTAACGACTGAGCCACCCAGGCGCCCTAGACGCTGTTCTAAGTGCTTTTACCTGGCTTAACTCATTTCATCCTCACTACAACCTCGGACAGACGCTATCATTAAACCAATTTTACAAAGGGGCAAAACTGAGGTTCAGAGGGGCACAGCCGGGATTCCAACCTACCAAAAGGCGTGCCCTGGATAAGCATCGACTACAGTAATGAGAATCCGAACTGTAGGAGCCCTAAGGGAGGCATTAGACACAACCCAATAACCACGGCGCCTCAATTTCTTCCTTTGCAAATTGTAGCAATATCCAGCTTTGCCCACAGGGTGGAGCCCTGTGGGCGAGAATTTCACCTGCGCATGCGCCTTTACCCACAAGGCCTCTTGCACTGGCTCCGCCCCCCTTTTTCAGCACTCACGTCGACACTTTACGGCCCTTTCTCTTACCCTCCAGTGAAAAACACAGCCAACCTTGCCGGTGGTGTCTAGCTGATCCCTCCCTACACCGCGCGGATTGGGTGCTCTTACCTCGAGCCCTGCGCTGACTGGCTCGTGTCGCTGCCACTTCATTTCAGCCTAGTGGCGCGCGGCAGGGCGGCTACCGGCGGGCGCGTGAGCGGCGGCGGCGGCGGCGGCGGAAGTGGTCGGCGAGCCTGCTCCCCGCCGACAGCATGGTGAGGGCAAGGCGGTGGCAGGTCTCTCCGGGAGGCGGGGAACGCGGCCGCCGAGGGCCCTCGGGGCGGGCGTTGAGGCAGGGGCGACGCGGAGCTAGCATGCAGTCAGGGCCTCGTTTCTGCCCCCCGGCCCCAGACGGGGACACAGGCCGGAGAGGGCAGGGAGGTTTCCCAGAGCATCCAGCCTGTCAGTCTCGGGGGACTTAGAATTGGACGAACGTGTAATCAATGTGTCAGCCTACCTGCCATCTTTCCACCTTGCAGATGGGGAAACTGAGGCCTGAGAGGGGACCGCCAAAGGGTCCGGTGAATACCGAAGAGTGAATTCGGGCAGGGGAGTGGCTCCGAGTGCATCCGACCCAGTCTAACTTCATATATTGGAAAAGTGGAGCGACAGAGGGCCGATCTGAGTTCTCAAATTAAACCGGTTTTGAGAATTACAGGACTTGCAAGGGCCTTTAGAATGTTAGCACAGTCGTCTGTGTCTCTCATTTTAAGGCTGGAAAAGCAGACCCAGAGAGCGGGTTTGCCATCTCCCTGGATCACACTGGATGTCGTTTCTGGAGAAGGGAGCATTTTGAGCCAGGAGTGGACTTAACTGTATCCTTCCAGTTCGGTGAAGGAAAATTGAGGCCCTGCCGGGAAGCCTCTCCAGGACCATGCTGCTCTCAGATCCTGAAAGTTCTGGATTTAGGTCAGAGAGAGTGCCCCTGCCTTCAATGTTTAGACAGGGAGGTGCGTCTGGCTGAGAGCCTGGGACTCTTGATCTCGGGGGTAGTGAGTTCAAGCCCCTCGTCGGGCCTAGAGGTTACCTTAAAAAAAGAAAAAGAAGAAGATGGATAGACAGGGAAACAGGACCATACAGAAATTCAGAGCCAGGCCTCCTAGGAGAGTGTCTGGCCCATCAGCACCAGTCTCTCTCTCAGGGTCATTGCATGTTTCTCAGAGCTTAAGGTTAGTAGAGGTTTGTACTAAATACTGCTGGCTGGTGCAGGAAATGAGAGAGGTAGTGGGTTCCTCTGCTGGAGGGCAGAGTTGGCCTGAGGGGATGGGCAGAACTGGAAGCTACCTTCCCCCTTAAGTTCCTTGGAAACAGGCTCTTTTATTTTATCCCTGATATATCCCTAGAGCCTAGAACAGTACTTGTGCAAAGAACAGACTCTTTTTCAGCCTGAAGAATGCCAGGAAGGGACAAGGCATGACAGACTCCCAGTTCCCCAAGGTCATGATGAGGCAGGAAGCAGGGGTCTGAGGGTGTGTGTGTTTGGGAGGGGTCTCCATAACAGCTTCCTGAATTGGGAGCCTCAGGAAGCCATCTGGTCTAGTCTTAGATTGGTCTAGACCTGACAACCAGACCCTAGACATTCTGAAAAAGCCCAGACGAAAGGATGCTCTTTCCTGAAGCTTTTGACTTTCCCAACTCCAGATGGCCCTGTCTTCTGAACAGTGTCCTAGCCCGTCCCATCTCCCTTGGCACCTTCAAGAACTTCTTCCCAGCCAAGTTTTTTAAGTTCTCGGGGAATCTTCCCCTCCTCTCTGCTCTGTCTCCAGCAGTTTGGGGATGAGGGTCTGGAAAATGGCAGGATGTGGACACTGCTCCAGGCCACGCAGCCTTGGAGGACTGTCCCCAATACCACCTCTACCCAACTGAGCCTCTCCTTTTTTTTTTTTTTTATGTATTTATTTGACAGAGAGAGAGCACAAGCAGGGGCAGTGGCAGGCAAAGGGTGAGGGAGAAGCAGGCTCCCCCACTGAGCAAGGAGTCCTACGCTTGGCTCCATGCCAAGACCCTGGGATCATAACCTGAGCCAAGGCAAATGCTCGACTGAGCCACCCAGGCACCCCTGGGCCTCTCCTTTACTTATCTGTGGGGTGGGGCAGGTATCCCACCCACGCCATGTGCCTCCCTGGATGGTGTGTGCATTTTCTTGTGTATTTGTTCAGCAGATATTTACTGAGTCCCTCTCGAGTCCCTGGCCCTGAGTTCGGCACTGGACAAAGTCCACACCCTCTGAGTTTTCCAGTCTGGCCAGGGAGACGTAATAAACAAGATAATTAGAGACTGGCTGTGTCCTATAATGGAAGCAGCAGGGGGTGGCCCAGGTGGAAATCTCAACCCCTAGATGAGGTTATTATGAGGGCCTGGCCAAGCGAGGTAAGAGGTGACATGTGAGCAGCCACCAGCCTGGGGAAGGACAACCCAGGCGGAAGGAACTGCAGGAACAAAGGTCAGACGGCAGGATTGGGTGTGGCTAGTGAGAAACAAACTGGGCCACTTTGGCTGGAGGTGGCTTGGCCTTGTGACTCGTTGGGGGAGTTAGATGCGCAGGGGAGTGTTGGGAGCAGGTGTTGGTCACTTCTGTGTCTTAGACATCCTCTCAGCTGCTTTGTGAATAGTGCGCTGCCCGTGACAGCCAAGGAATCTCTGGGTTCTCCAGGGCTGTGCTGCCAGTAGCTGGGACAGGGGAGAGGCCAGCACAGGCACAGAAGCTGCGCACACCATAAAAGGACTCCTGTGGGGCCCCTGCTGACAGGCTTCAGCTTACTTTCATGGGCTGTCTCAGGATCTTGCCGTGGTGTCCCTGGGAAGGTCCCTCCTGCTCTGACCACTGGTCCCTCGTCTAGAGGGGCCTTGGCTTTACCTCTCTGCCTCTCAGTGCTGAATCCGTCTTCATTCTCGCCTTCCAGGCCCAACCTTGCTCTGTCCCCTCTCAGGCGATCTGGGAGGAAGACCTGAGTGTGTCTTCGCTCTGGTCCACGTTCCCATCTTGGACACAAGAGAACAGGCTTGCTCAGGAAAGCCTGAGGCTTCGCCACAGTAAAAGGCGACTGAGGCTTATGGCCTCCGTGTGTGAGTCGGACCCATGGCTCTCTACCCCTGGGTACCATCGCACAGATGAATTCCAAATGAGAGGGCAGGAGCCGCAGGTTGGCTAGGTCGGGGCCCCAGCCTGCTTGCCTGTCCTCCTCTGAGCAGTCACCCCTTCTCCACGTGGCCCCTTCTTCCTTTTTACCAGGAAGCCAGTGCAGGAAGTGGGCTTGGGCCTGGCTTCCTGCCGCCACTGGACCTCCCCTAGGCGGCTCTTCTCAGGAAAGGTTGTGGGCTGTGGGAATCCCCCTCAGGCCTTTCCACAGGAGCCGTCCTGTGGGAGTTGGCCATTTCTGGCCTCCAGTCCCCCCCACCTAGAGAAGCAGCTGGCCTGCTTTGGGAGTGTGAGGGCAGGCCGAGACTCCCCTGCAGCGAGCTTCTGGGGGTCAGGCTGACAGAATTCCAAAGCCAGTGCAAGGTGCAGTGAAGCTCCCGTCCTCCCTGAGGCAGTGAGTGTCTCATATGTGGGACCCTTAGACCAGAACCTTGATTTGGCCTTGCTGGCTGGGCTATCGTTGGATCCTGGACCCAAGCACTGCCACCTGAGTCACCCTCCTGGAGACTGAGAAGCAGGCTCCAGTGTTGTATGGGTCGTGATTTGTGTTCCCAAAATGAAAAGAGCTGATTTTTTAATATCTTGAAAGCTGACTGTATGTGGGTGAGTTTTTTAAAAGATTGCATCTCTTATATGCTGTTACTTGTAGTAACGACAGATTTTTTTTTTTTCTGGAATGTTTTTCGCCTTACCTGATGAATTTTCTCACTGAAAACCCAGTTTAGATGTAGCCACCCTAGATCGAGGTTGCTACCCAACAGCCTGGCCGAATCCCTCTTGGTCCAGTCAGGGCTGCCCTTCGAGGCGTGGGCTCAGCATGAGCTGACTTCCAGCGGATGGGGTCAAGCCAGGCTCTATCTCTTACTAGCTTTATAGTGGCAGGCAAGTCCCTCAGTCTCTTTTTTTTTTTTTTAAGATTTTATTTATTTGACAGAGACAAAGCGAGAGAAGGAACACAAGCAGGGGGAGTGGGAGAGGGAGAAGCAGACTTCCCATGGAGGAGGGAGCCCAATGCGGGGCTCAATCCCAGGGCCCCAGGATCATGACCTGAGCCAAAGGCAGACGCTTAACGACTGAGTCACCCAGGCACCCCAGTCCCTCAGTCTCTTAAGCCTCAGTATCCCCATCTGTAAAGTGGGTGTGACGACAACTGTATATGAGGATGAAAAAGAAAGCTGCATCTATTTAAAAAAAAAAAGATTCTATTTGTATGAGAGAGCGAGGGCCCGTGCATGCGTGGGGAGGGAGGGGCAATGGGAGAGGGACAAGCAGACTCCCCACTGAGCACAGAGCCTGACACAGGGCTCAGTCCCAAGACTCTGTGATCACCACCTGAGCCGAAGTCAGACGCTTAACCAACTGAGCCACCCAGGCGCTCTGAATGAGAGAAACATCAGTTGAGCAAAAAAGGCAAGCTGCAGAAGGATCCTTGTGCTCTGGCACTCGTGATAAGCGTGGAAGGCTAGGCCCTTTCCTGTCAAAGGTGTGAATATAGGCAACATGAGTTGTAAAGAAAGGCCCAGAATGGTCAGCACCAAGACCAGATGACTGCTGCCTCTGAGATTGGGTGTGGGGGAGTATTCCAGGCTTTATTTCCTAAACTGGGAGGCAGGTATGTGTCCTGGGGTTGGGCAGAGTTAGGAGCACGCATTTTCTGTCGGGGGTCAGGGCCATGTGTTCCTGCACCCCCAGCGCAGTGATGAGCTGGCAGATTTGTGAGATTGGAGTCCCAGCCCTGCCCAAGGGCCGGGGCCCCTCAGTGCTGATCAGACAAGTTATGTGTCTTTGTTTGCCTTCCAGCTTCCCCTGTCGCTGCTGAAGACGGCTCAGAATCATCCCATGGTGAGTACATGCCTGTCAAGGGCAGCAAGTTTTCAGCGGGAACCAGCCTCAGAACAGGGACAGGGACACTGGGCAAAGGGTAAGGTGCCTCCAGCCAGACCGGCTTCCTCCCTGCCCACAAGACAGCAGCTTATTCTCTTCTCCCTCCTATGCATGTCAGGACCTGCTCTTAGTTCTGCTGCTTATAAAAGTAATACATGCTTATTAAAAATGTCAAACACTAGAGGTCCTTAGAAACTAGAAACTCCTCTTCATTACTCTTGCCAACAAATTAACGATATCTTTGATACATGCTGGTTCAGACAACTTTTTTTTTTTTTTTTTTTTTAAGTAAGGTCCATGCCCAACATGGGGCTTGAACTCACAGAGTGAAGATCAAGAGTTGCATGCTCCACCGACTGAGCCAGCCAGGCACCTTGCACATCCAGGCTTAACATATGTGTAGAAACACGAATGTGATTTTTTAAAAACACAGATGGGATTGGGGTGCCTGGGTGGCTCAGTCCGTTAAGCATCTGCCTTTGGCTCAGGTCGTGATCCCAGGGTCCTGGGATGGAGCCCCACATCGGGCTCCTTGCTCAGCAGAGCCTGCTCTCCCTCTCCCTCTGCCTGCTGTTCCCCCTGCTTGTGCTCTCTCTCTGTCAAATAAAGAAATAAAAAACCTTAGGGGCGCCTGGGTGACTCAGATGGTTAAGCGTCTGCCTTCGGCTCAGGTCATGATCCCAGGGTCCTGGGATCGAGTCCCGCATCGGGCTCCCTGCTAGGTGGGAAGCCTGCTTCTCCCTCTGCCTCTGCCTCTCTCTCTCTCTCTCTCTCTCTCTCTCTCACTCTCATGAATAAATAAATAAAACATTTTAAAAATAAAAAAAAAAGAAAAAGAAATAAAAAACCTTAAAAAAACAAAAAACAGAAAAACACAGATAGGACCACATAACACACGTTATTCCCTAAACGACTTTTGCCCTTCATGATACAGTGTGTCACTATGTTCTGTTCTCTTTCTCTTTTTTATTCCGATATATAATTCACAAACCATACAGTTCAACCTTTTTTTTTCTTTTGAAGTTCTTATTCTTTTATTTAAGTAATCTCTACACCCAACATGGGGCTTGAATTCACAATCCTGAGATCAAGAGTAGCACGCGCTTCTGACTGAGCCAGTCAGGCGCCTTTACAGTTCAGCCTTTTAACACATACAACTCGGGTATTTAGTACATTCACAGCGTTGTAAACCACCACCTCAGTGTAGTTCCAGAACATTCCATCACCCCAGAAGGAAACCCCATTAGCAGTCCCCATCCCCTTTCCTCAGTCCTTGGCAACTATTAATCTGCCTTTTGTCTCTATGGATTTGCCTGTCCTAAACATTTCCTGTAAATGGGATCATATGCTGTGTGGCCTTTTGTGTCTGGCTTCTTCAACTCTGCATGATGTTTTTTGAGGTTCAGTCAACCTGTAGCATGTCGGGGCTTCATTCCCGATGGCCCTGGCCATGTGATAGCACATTGTATGGACATACCGCATTTTGTGTATCCACTTGTCTGCTGATGATGGACATTTGGGTTGTTTCTACTTCTTGTCTGTTAGTGAATATTTTGGTTGCAATGAACATTTGTGCACACATTTTTTTTTTTAATTTTATTTTTCATTTATTTGAGAGAGAGCATGCACAAGCGGGGGGAGGGGCAGAGGGAAAGGGAGAAGACTCCCTGCTAAGCAGGGAGCCCAACATGGGGCTCGATCCCTGGATCCTGGGATCATGACCTGAGCCCAAGGCAGACGCTTAACCGAGTGAGGCACCCTGGCGCCCCTGTGCACACATTTTTGCCTGGATGTTTGTCTTTATTTCTCTTGGTCAAATACCTGAGTCGATTCTTTTTTTAAGTCTCCACTTATCTTCAGAGTGATGGGCTACCTGCTTGTTTTCCCAGAGCACATTAAAATAGATGAGTAATTGTTGGACTGAAAAGGTGTTTTCAGACCACCAAAGCTCACACACATGCTGTCAAAGAACACCTGCCCCGGGGCACCTGCCTGGACCAACTGAGATGTGCCCTCCTGGCTGTTCTGAGTCAGCAGCCACTGCTACCCTAACCTCACTCTTTCCTTGAAAGATTTGTAGAGGATTTTTTGGTGGTTTTTTTTGCTTTTTGTTTGTTTGCACAAACAAAACCCAGTTTCATCATGGAAGACTACAATGCCCAGCAAAATGTACAGAGGATGCAGAACATGTCGCCTGTAAGATGGGCCACTGGGGGCGGGGGGTGGGGCAGTACTAGGCACCATGTCCTGTGGCCACCGGGTCCCACGAGGTCCCATGTCTGAATGAGGCCCAGGCGGTAGTCACCCAGCTCTTAGGGGTAGGGCTGCCCTTCCCTTGGGGCCTATGGCTGACTTGGGGCCATTTCTCTTCCAGTTGGTGGAACTCAAAAATGGGGAGACATACAATGGGCACCTGGTGAGCTGTGATAACTGGATGAACATTAACCTTCGAGAGGTGATCTGTACATCCAGGGTGAGTGCCCTGCGCCCGACTCTGTGCCCACTGCCTGGGGGCAGCATGGCCGCCAAGTTCCCACATGCACCTGGGGCTTAAGGAGCCTCAGCATCCTCAGTGGAGTGAAAGCCCCTCCCTGCCCTTGTGGGAGGGGTAGGGAGGGGCATAGCTCAGCCAGGTCATCCTACCAGGGTGAGGCTTATGGAAGGGGTGGGACTTGGGGGCGGGGCCTGAGGGACTGGGAGGGGTGTGGAGGGGGCAGAAGGGTGGGGCTGCGCGCCCGCTAGTACCCTGGACTTTGCACCTAATGGGGATGCTGCCCCATCCCCTGTGGCTCGTGCCAATCCTAAACAAGAAGGACTTAGGCTTGTGGGGGCACTTCTGGCTACAGATCCCAAGTGTACAAAACAGGCCTGACCTTCCTTGTCAGCCTCTGCTGCCTTTGGTCCTGGCTGTGGACATCACCGGCCAAGCAGGCCAGAGTGGTGTGGCCATGGGATATCCAGGCCACCAGGGGGCGAGGGTGGCCCTGTGGCCCTGTGGAGCAGGAGACTTGTTTATCTCCTGAGGCCTGAAACCAGGAAGTGCAGGGCCAGGAGCACCACTGGGTGGGCCAGGGCTGGGGGACAGTTCTCTAGGGTCACAGGCCTTCCCAGCCCTCAGGATGAGCCACAGAGCAATGAGGATGATGACCGTGGTGAAGGCAAGGCTCCCTCCTGTGAACCTGTGCTGGGGTCGGCTAGGGCTTGCCTTCTGCCTTGATTCCAGTCTCCATCCCCCTGTTGACAGCAGCACCCTATGTTACAGGGGAGGAAGGTGTGGGGGGGCCCAGCCAAGATGGGGCTGTCTTGAGCCCATGGGCAGGTGCCCCTGAGCCTTGCCATACCAGAGTACAGCAGAGCCCTAGGCAGCCCGTCTTACGCCTGGTCCGTCCCCCTGGATGGTTCCCATCCCAACAGGCAGACTGGTAAGGGTGACTGTCTCCCCTCACCTGTGTGGCTCTGTGCCCCGTTTCTTGTGATGGTACATTGTGGGACGGCTTCCACTAGAAACTTCCTCCTGGTTTTCAGGCCGCACTTGTGGTGGCAGGGGTCCAAGCAGCTCCAGTGTGGCTGTAGCAGCCATTGCCACAGTGCACAGCCGAGCGCGTGGCCAGTAGGTCTGTGTCCACCTCTGGGACCTGGAAGCAACCACCGGTTCACAGAGCAAGGTCAGCCAACCTCTGTAGCCAACAGAGACTGGACACGTAGCTCCTCCTGGGTAGTCTCCCTCTGTGACCTGCTGGTTGGAAGGAGAGGCTGCTGTGAGGTTCAGTGTCACTTGGGCTGTCCAGCCTCCTCACCTGTAAACAGGTGCTCGCAGCTCCTCCCTTGGGCAGCAGGCAGCCTGGGCAGGACGCACACACCCCAGAAGCTGAGAAAGCACTGGAGAGCCAGGGTTGGTTGGAAAGTGGTTAGCTCAGGCTGCTCACTCTTGCCATGGAACACAGAGTAAGCTCTGGTTCCTGTAGGGAGTGTGCTGGGCCCAGCCTGTCCTTGGCTGAGGGAGAGCCGAGCCCTGAGCAGCCAGCCCCAGCACTGCGCTTCCATGGAATCATTCAGTTTCTGTCAGGCTGTAACTTTGCATCCCCACAGACTTGGCCCCTTGCCTGCCCTTCCTGGGAAAGGAGTGCCCTGAGACCTCATGAGGTTCCTGTGTGGGTTGGGGGCTTGTGCACATTCCTGGGAAGAGTTGGCCTTTGAACTTTCCCTTTGTCCTATTGAGTGTCTCCGCTGGCCCAGACCAGCCAGACCCAGGCACTGCTGACGAGTGTCATGCATGAGGAGTGGGCCTTTCAGGGAGGCTGGGAGCAAGGCCTGTTGGGGGTCAGAGTTAGCCAGACACAGAAAAGTGGGAACAGCATATGCAAAGTGCTGGGGGCAAGAAGCCCACTGTGTGTGTTCCAGAAATTTCCATCTGGAAGGCACGTCATCGAGAGCTGAGTGAGGGCAGCCAGGGTGGGGCTGGATGTCAGGCCCTTGGGAGCCACACTGAGGAGTTTGGACCTTGTCCTTGGGCCAAGGGGGCCCTGATTGGGTTCTAAGCAGGACAGTGTCTTGGTCTGATTTCTAGGGATGTGGGGAGAGGAGAGGGCTGCCAAGACTTCTGGCTCAGGGCACGAGGGGTGGGGCTGGAGAACTAATCTGAGGGAAGAAGCCCCGGGCTCCTGCCCAAGGGCAGCAGGAGGGGCTGTGGAGGAAGGCCTTGTGCTGGTCACAGGGTACATGGGAATGGGGGGTGGGGGGAGGCAGTTGATGTCCTAGGACCTGCAGGGTTGGCATTGCTCTGGAATCTGTGACTTTGCAAGCCTCCTAATCTCTCTGGCCTTAATTAGCTCCCCTGAAAACTGGCACCATTGGTCGCTGCCCCTGGCCAGCCCCAGGCTTGCTTCCCCACCCACCTCCCGCCCTCTTCACAGAGTCTCTATCCCACTTATTTGTGTCCCACACCCACCTCAGAGCCTGTCAGGAGATAAGTGGATGAATGAATGAGTCAGGGCACATAGAGAGGGTTCCAGAAGGTAGGTTCCAAAAGGCTGGGCGAGCTGGGCTGTGGCCAGGCTGTGTGGCAGTGCCTGGTGCGAAGGTCCCTAGCCGCCTCTGGGCTTTGGGCTGCAGGAAACAAAGCTGAGGATGAGGAAGCTAGCTTATGTGTTTCCCTGCCCCTTCCTGGGTAAAGGGGGACCCAGAGTCTGGAGAGAGTCCGCTGGAAGGAAGCTCCCCCCACCCCCCATGTCAAGTCTGGGACTGAACTTTGCAGGCGTGAGGCCAGGTGCAGGCGGGCTAGGACGGTGGCCCAGGTGGGAACAGGAGCACGAGGGGACAGACACGCCATTGCCCTCCGCACCCACGCTGCAAGGACCCCCCCCCAATCTGAGACTCACCCTCTCTCGCCCAGGATGGGGACAAGTTTTGGCGGATGCCCGAGTGCTACATCCGTGGCAGCACCATCAAGTACCTGCGTATCCCCGATGAGATCATCGACATGGTCAAGGAGGAGGTGGTGGCTAAGGGCCGTGGCCGCGGCGGCCTGCAGCAGCAGAAGCAGCAGAAGGGCCGAGGCATGGGGGGTGCCGGGCGAGGTAGGCCCTTCTCTCCCTCCCCCCACCCCCCCGCCCCCAGTAGGCTAGGCCGCAGAGTCTGCCCAGGCCTTGCCCAAGCTGAAGGGTGACTGCAGCACGTGGCAGCCATCCCGTCCCAGTGTTGACATTCTTGGGTGGTGCCGTCATGGTGCCACAGGCCTGGCTCTGAGCCCCCTCCATAGAGCTGGGGGTTATGACTCACAGGGTTCCTCCGGGGCTGCCGAGGCTGCTCTTTGCTGCCTGCCCCGGCCCCATAGCCCCAACCCAGGAAGCCTGGTATAGCCCTGGCGGGCCGTGCTGGCTCCCCCACCCCCCTGGGCCCTTCTGCCCAGCAGCAGTCCTCGGGGCTCCGGAAGCCTGGCTCCAGCCCAGCAGACTAATGCAGTGCCCGTGCAGACCTGGGGCTTGCGCCCTCGTCTGATGCCCACCTGTGTCTCCCGGCAGGTGGTCTGGGCTTGGTGTGCCACCTCCCTGGCTCGTTTCCCCTCTGCAGAGAGAGTCTGGTGGTCCCCGCCTCACCAAGGCTGCTGGCGGGGATCCCAGCTCAGGGCCTGGCACGAGCCCCTTCCCTGCTGTCACTCCTTTTCACAAGGCCGAGTTCATTCCTTTCTAATAGACTCCCCTCATCCTACCCACCCCCACCTCCAGCCACCAAAATTATAAATCTGGCATAAACTTCAATTTGTTGTGCAGTCAGCTGGGTCCTGAGCCTAGAGGCCATCTGCAGACCCTCCCTCCCTCCCCCCCCACACACCCCGCTCCTCTTGGGGGGCCCCGGCTTTGTCTCTTCCATCTGGAGGGGCCTTCCGTGTGCCAGGCCCTGGCTCCCCCCCCGGGGCCTCACAGGCAGGGCCAGAAAGGATACAAGAGCCGGCCCTGAGCTGAGGCTCACATGACAGGAATGAGCCAGAGGGAGGAGGTCTGGAGGGCACTCCAGGTGGGGACATTGCCAAGGCCTAGGGGTAAGCAGGGCTTTTTCCATACCTGAGGGCCAGGCTCTTTGTGCTGAGGCCACCACTGCTAAGTGAGATGCCCAGAGGAGCAGGGAGGGAGGGAGGAGTGATTAGCTTAGGCCACTCTGAAGAGAGACCATGGGGCCCTCGGTAGCAGGTGGAAATCTCACCCTGTGGCAGAGCTGCCCTTGGCAAAGCCGGTCTTGCCCTGGGGGAGGTGAGGTCAGGTAGCCCCTGCAGGAATGGGCCTCCATTCCGACAAGGCCCACTGCGTGTTTGTGGTGGAAGGGGGACTGTGTGTGCCTTTCTGTGCCCCATGCCACTGTGGTCCTTCCGGGACCTCCCTGGGCAGGGGCGTGTTCTAGCCCTGATTACTCAGCCTCCCACACAGCTCCTACCTTGGGCTCCATGTAAAATATCTTAGAAGCACAGCTCCATCACTGGCTGGCAGAGGTTAGAGGGCAGGGAGCTCCCCTGTCCCCACCCCTTGGCCGGACACACAGAATCTCCCAGTTGTTTCTCTCCTGGGCCAGGGATGTGAACAGTGCTGGAGAAAGAGGGAAACCTGGGTCCTCAGAGTTGGGGGCCTGTAGCCGGCCCCCTGGGCTGAGTCCTGCCCCTATTCTGGGTCTTGCTCCCCTCCTCCTGGAAACCATCTGGCTCTATCCTTCTAATGACTACCCCCTACCCTGGCCCCAGGCCCTCTCCCAGGAAGCCTTGCCCAAGCTCCAGTGTGACTTAGAGCTGACCTCTGTCCTCCCTGGCATCCCTCATACCCCTTGGGAGCTGGTCTTGTCCCTTGTCAACACTGAGAACTTTCTGGAGCACCACCCCCACGTTCTCAGCTGGGCCTCCAAACCCGGTTCTGCTGCAGCCCCCTCCTCTGTCTCACAGGTGTGTTTGGTGGCCGGGGCCGAGGTGGGATCCCAGGCACAGGCAGAGGTCAGCCGGAAAAGAAGCCGGGCCGACAGGCGGGCAAACAGTGAGCCGACCCTCCGTCCGTCCCCGAGAGACTGAGCCGCCACTGAGCATCTGGTCCCGCTCCCTGAGGCTGTGTTTCTACTCTCCAGGTCACAAGTGTGTTCAGAACAAAAAGAAGCAGGTGTTGGGGAAGAGCCCCCCTCCCCACCTGTCATTTTGTGATCCTTTTTACATAAAGTACCCCCCCCTTTTTTTTAAGCCAGCAGTTCTACAGTTGGATATGTTATTCGGTGTTTTTGGTTTTCTGAAGTCTCCAAGCTGACTTGATTCCTGGAAGAGTCTGTGTTTAATGTGTCTTTAAAGCCCTCGCTCTTGTTTTAAGGGCGGGCACTTTCCAAACAGGCTTGTTTTGCATTTTGAGTTGGATCCTCGTGTGGTGAACAGACCGGAGGTTTTTATTTTAAGCTGTTTGCACTGAGATTGACAGCCTTGGGAGTTTCCTGAAACACGGACCTCAGGATTGCCTTTTGAAAACAAATACGTATGAACGTATGCCACAGAAGCTGTTCCTGGGACATTGCTGGGCCCTGCCCCTTTGCCTCCTCTCTCCCTGTTTGTGTCACAAGAATAAAAACAAATACAACTACAAACTGCAAATTCATTTTTTTTTTTTTTTTTTTTTTTTGAGTCACTGGGCACATCTAGAGTGTGGTATCCTCAGGAAATCACAGTCCGGTAAGAGAAGTTTCCTTTCGAGGGTTGCTGCCTGTCTCGCCAAGGGGAAGTATTTCAACAGGACACTGGTTCCATGTCCCTTGATTTCCTTTTTAAGAATGACGTTGTCTGGGCAATGGGAGTGGCCCTCCTGCGCTAGGTTTACCTGTAACCCTTGCCCCTTTGTGGAGAGGCTTGATGAGGGGGAGGGGGCAGTGTGATACCCATGCAGCCAATCCTTGGGGCCAATGTCCTGCCCCCCATCCCTGCTTTGTAAGCACCATTCACACCAGAGTTCCCTGAGAAGCTGTGACAAGCGGCTGCCTCAAAGAATGTGCTAGGAAGGCTCTTACCTCCTCTCCAAGTTGGGGCACCGTCTGTCCACACCACGGTGATTTGCCTGGGATGTTGAGCCAGCACTTTTACAGTGTTTCTGTGACACTGTCTGCGGGCTGATTGTCCTTTTTTATTGTAAGTGAGGGGAACTGCCGAATGGCCTGGTGCTGGGAGGCAAGACGGGGTGCCAGCCGGTTCCCGTGGGACCGGATTCTAATTGTCACTGTGTTGAGACCTGTTCGGAGGGGCGATCAGAGTTGCCTGAGAACTCCGCTTGTCGGAGCTGCCAAGTGCTAGCCAAGCGCTCTTGCAGATACCCACATTTAAGACTCAGCCCGCCTCAAGAATGTGCTCTGCCCCTGCCCCCACCCCATCATTGTTTTTCCCTCAGGCACCGCTTGTGGGACCTGCTGCAGCTAGAATGCTTGCCTAGCACTCTGGCACAGGCTGGGACAGGGCATGGGGGTTTGAGTGGGACCTGGGGGCGTCTGATAAGCCCCAGGACTGGAGAAATCCCCTCTCAGAGATGTGGGCTGCTGGGGTGGGTTGGGGGGTTGGCGACGAGGCGCGGGGCAGGAGCGAGAAGGGAGGGACTGGCAGGGAGGGAGGTAGCTGGGTCCCCAGCTCCCCTCCCCCATGGCCCTGGACTCAGCGGCCCATAAAAGCCTCCGGGGCCCTGGTCTGGCGAGGCTTTGATAAAAGCCGGGGTCAGGTGTCCAGCTCCGCAGCGAACGGCTAGCCCTTTGGAGGCCCCGCCCCTTCCTGCTTCGGGCGGTTCGGTTTTTCCTCCCAAACTGAGGTCTGCGGGGTGAACGCCTTCGTCCTACCGCCCTGTCTCGCAGTTTAGGGTCTTGGGCCCCCGCGGCGCCCGCCCTCCCCACGGCTCTGCGCTAGGGCTCAGGCTCCCGCTGGGAGCCTTCGGGAGCCTGCGTGCGTAATCGCGGCTTCCCGCGTGTGTCGCCACACACGCCGGCCGGCCCTGACCTTTCCAGCCAGGCAGCGCGGGCTGGCGACCCAGTCCCCTCCTCTCCCGCCGGTGACGTGAGCCGCCTCGCCAGCCCAGGCCGCTTAGGTGCGGTGGGCTTCCGGAAGGTTCTATCCTTCTGAGCTGGCTGTCGGGACAGCCCCGTTTTTCAGTCTCCTTCCTGGTTGGTTTCGAGAAACGAGCCTCAGCCCCCTCAACAAGAAAAGAAACCAAAAGCTCCCAGCTAGTTCCTAGACACTGGGCCTCGATTTTTCCGCCCTTCTGATGGTTGTCGACTGGGGTCTGAGCCCTCATCAGCTGACTGGTGCATGACTGCGGGCATGCAGGACGTCTAAAACGTAGGTGGTTCCCAGGAACCAGAAACCAGAGACCTCCTACCCGTGGAGTTTGCTCCAACTCCCCTCCGAGCAGAGGTGTGACTTAACCTGGGGCCCAGGCTCTGCACGGCCGGCCTTGACGCCGTAGGCCCCTCTTGCCTGACCTGGGGCCAAGAGCCCATCTGGGGGACACGGAGGCAGCGGGCAACCAGGAGCCCCAGCCCCACTTGGCAGCAGTGGGGCGGCGTCTGTCTTGCTATCCTGCGTCATCCCTTCCTGCACACATCGCCTCTGATTCCTCCTCCGCGGGGCTTCACCTGCTGCTCCCAGAGCAGCTCTGCCAGGAAACCCTGCCTTGTGCCCACTGAGCCCACGTGGGCATGATGGCAGGTGTCCTCCCCACCCATCCATCTGGACCCCAGGGGCCCAGCCTCTCCCGGTATCAGCAATGTGTGTATCTCCAGTGGCTCAGTGCATGCCCTGGTGTCCTCCGCTGTCCCTCTGAGGACAAAGGGCCACTTGGCCAGTGAGGGGGTATAGGAGATGGCCTGATGTCCACTCAGATAACCTCTGTGGGAGAAGCTGCCCGCCTCAGTGAAGCAGAGGGCTGGCCTGGAGGCAGAGGTACTGGGGCCACAACCCCATCCCAGGTGCTGGAGACTCAGCCTGAATTAGGCAAAGAGCCCCGGCCCAGTGGCCCTTACTTACCTTCCACGGGGTGAGCTAGCAACAAACTAGCCGAATGCATCAGTGTGGAGAAACAGAAAGCGAGAGTGGGAGAAAGAGGCGGTCAGGGCAGGCCGGAGGGTGACTAGCATTCAAGAAAAGGGCTTGAGGAAGGCAAGGGAGCCAGCTAGAAGAGCATTTCCGACGAAGAGAACAGCTTGCACTAGTGCCAAGGCCCTACACAGAGTGGTGACAGGAACAAAGTGAGGGGGTAGAAAATGGGGCAGGTGCTGTGGGCCCTGAGCAAGATGGGAAGCACAGAAGTTTCTGGAACAGACTGAGACAAGGGTGGAAGCCGGGAGACCAGGAGGAGGTGGGGCTGGGGGCTCAGCCCAGGGTAGAGGTCGCAGAGGTGGCAAGAGAACAGGCAGGGGTGCCTTGAGGGCCTGGGGCAGATAGGCTCATCTTTCTGCAGGAAGCCCAGGATGCTGGGATGGGAGCTTTCCAGAGTGGAAGGGGAGGCCTCGCTGAGGGGGGCATGTTCAGACCAAATCCCGAAGGTCAAGAAGCCACTGTCCATGGGAAGAAGCAGAGAACAGGGGGAGGGAACTGCAAGTGAAAAGCCCCCGAGCTTCTGTGGCCTGCTCAGGGAGGGCAGAGACCCAGCATGATCCGAACAACAGCCTCGTGTGTGCCAGGCAGCTCCTAACACTCGGGCACAGAGGGGGTGAGCCACCTGCCCCAGGTCACACAGCTCCAGAGCCTCCTTAGAGCTCCTCCCTCTGTAGCCTCCTTGAACTTGGAGGATCCATTTGCCTTCTCTGAGTTCAGCTGTGTCAGGTGTAGAATCAGGAGACAGGAGTCATTTGGGGTGGGGGCAGGTGAGGTCGGCACTGGCTTTAAAGTTTATTCCCCTGACTGTTGCCTCAACTGAGGGACAGGGTTCGAGACACACAAAGTGCCTGTCAAGTTTTACCCCATTCTGCCTCAGTGTCCTTGCTGGTCAGAGGGAACAGTATTGGCCTCCACTTCACCGGGGTTGTTGGGAGGATTACACGCGGGAGGAGGCTTAGTATACAACGAATGCTCCACATATACTTGCGTACATCTAAGAGTGCCGCTTCAGGGCGCCTGGGTGGCTCAGTCGTTTGGCATCCGCCTTCGGCTCAGGTCACGATCCCAGGATCCTGGGATCGAGCCCCGCATTGAGCCCCACATCAGGCTCCCTACTCCGCGGGGAAGACTGCTTCTCCCTCTTCCACTCCCTCTGCTTGTGTTCCCTCTCTCGCTGTGTCTCTCTCTGTCAAATAAATCTTTAAAAAAATAAAATAAGAGTGCTGCTTCATTCTTCATTGATCACCTATAGAGTGTCTGAAACCTCTCCTGGGAATCTCTCCATCTCTATCAGCCTTGAGCTCAGCCTGAGCTGCGCATTGGCTGGGAGGCCCAGGGCGGTGGTGCCACATGCTTGGCCTGCCCTGTGGTCAGTGGCTAGTAGCCACTGTCCTCCATGCCCCGGAGGCCAGCCCTGGTTGCCTAGCCCTGGCTGGTGAGCAGTCACCTTGAAGGCCCCCGGTGCTGCCCTAAGAGCCCCCTCCCAGTCTGGGTCCAGCCACCCAGCGGTGACTCACCCTTGCCCGCCCCGCCTCCACTGGAACCAGGCACCGAAATAGTCACCCTGCTCACCCCCGGGAGTGGCCGGAGAAATATTTTAGGGCTGCATTCAGCGCCTAAAAATACTCGGTGCATCCTCCTGCATCTTCCCCTCCCTCATTCCCTTTTCTGTTCCTTTGAAAACTGTCCCTGTAAGCACCCCCAGGGCCTGTCCTTCCACACTGTGTCCCTCCAGCATGTTGAGTGTCCCTGGCAAGCAGGGCTCGGGGGGGGGGTCCCCAAATGCCCAAGTGCGTGTGGATGACTGGTGAGGTGGCCTCCCTCCCTCCCTCGCCCCCTCCCTGTCACCATGGAGAGACTCAGACACGGTTTACCCGGAACCTTCTGGAAAGACTGTCTTTTCCAAAACCCCCAGAAGACTCAGTTCCTGGGGCACAGTGATGCTGTCCAGGGAGGTCTTCATTACTCAGCAATTTTCCTTAAAAATTAAAAAAAAAAAAAAAGCCTCGTGCTGTTTGTGTTCATGAAGGGGGTGGAAACAGAACAGGGCCCCCAGCTGGACAGAATCCATTGCCTCTCCTGCTCAGGTGCTGCCGAACTCCACCAGCTTGTAGATCCTCTTCCCTCCCGGAGGGGGTGCAAACTGACCCTCCAAGGCACCCAAATGTCCTCAACATCATCCCTAACCACCAAACACCTTGACCTTTCCTGTGATGGGAGGAGGTGGGGAGTGGGAGCAAATGGAGTCAGAGTGCAGCTCAGCCCACCTGGAGTCTGATCCAGCTTCCCAGTTACCTGAAGCCTCCAGCTCAATGGAACAGCAGGTGTGAAGGCCTGGGGACAGGGGCACGCTGGGCATCTTGAAGATGCAGTAAGCTGAGCATTATTAACTAAAGAACACATTTTATTCAGATTTTCCTCAGGTTTTACCCAATGTTCTTTTTAAAATGATAATTGAGGGGCGCCTGGGTGGCTCAGTTGTTAAGCATCTGCCTTCCGCTCAGGTCATGGTTCCAGGGTCCTGG